ATTCTTTCTCAAAGTGAGCCCTTGAAACCGAGACTTGCCACCATGTATTTGGCAGTCGCGCCTTTCCAGGCTGGCTTCTTGAACTTACCCCATTTACTACTGGACATTTCTGGGGGTGATACAAACACACTTTCAGTGCTCACATCAGTGTTTGTCACCTCCGGCACTGCTGACATTTTCAGCTGAACACTTTGTTCTGGGGGCCGTCCTGTGCATTATGGGATGCTTTACCAGCACGCCTGGCCTCTACCACTCAATGCCAGTAGCACCAACCCCATGTGACAACTAAAACTGTCCCTGGACGTTGCCAAGCACCCCATGTGAGATGGAAGCGTCCATAAGGGAAAAACGTTGGTCTACACGGTCACACGTTTACATGTGTCTGCAAACGTCACAGTGACAGTGCCAGGTCAGGCCTCCGTACAGGGCAGTGCTTGGGGGTAGGAACCGGGGTCTGCAACAACATTTTCAAGGGCAGTGAGAGACACGCCATGAGACGTGCCTCGAAGAGACACCACAGCTAGCAGAGCTGTACCTTTGCTGGAAAATCCTCGATGACTTTAACCAAGTCCTGGCACCGCTGTGCAAAGGGCTTATTTATAGAGTCAGCTTTGAGGCTAGCCTAGGGGAAGAAACCGGAAAAAAAAAAAAAATCATGAGCATGTTCGCTTGGCGGCTGTTGATGATATTCCGGCTGGAGTCAAAACAGAAGCCCAAGTGGCAGGCTTGGACTTCAGGAGTGAGACGCATACCACCGGCCTGATTCCCTAATACCTCCTACATCCGGTCACGCACATGTCAGTGACTTAAAGGATGCTACTAGAAAAGAGGCTGAGGTCCCATGCCCTCTAAACCAGCAACTGTGAGGCCTGCTTCTCAGCACCCTCTGTTAAGCATCGCCAGTTACCTCAAAGAGCTGCACGTTATCAAATAAAATCGACTTCTGCCTGACCCATAAGCAGGGGGTCAGTCCCACACCCAGGAGAGGCCCCTGGGAGCAGGGTTCCCCTCACAGACCACAGTATCCACCAGGTGTGTGTGCAAGAACTGGAAATTCCCTGTGTAACTGCCCACCCACGGTTCACACAACTGTGATTGTCGGTAGGAATGTCCAATGAAATGAGGGTGTCTTTTATTGCCATTTAAACCCTTAACCAAACTATCCTTTATTCAGTAGCTAATGAACCTACTGAACCTTCACAACCTGAAGAAACAGGCAGGTTCAAAACCGCAGATGGCTCCAGCCAGGTGCTGGCACTAATCACGAAGGCGACGGAAAGAGCAGAAGGCATTCAGGGGCAGAGCGAAGGAATCTACCTGAGGTCATGGGGTGTGCAAATCCTGACTACACCAAGAAGCCACTGCACAAATGAAGATCGAGAGGAAGTGCCCGAGTTTCAGCAAAGAGTTATCTGAGGCCTTGTCCACCTCCAGACGAGGGTGGAGTCCCCGGGGCCTCAGTCAGAGCCAACGACCTGGGCTGTAGAGGCCAGGGTTGGCTCTGTCGGCCCAAGTGAGTTCACCGAGGAAGAACGTCCTTCCAAAGAAATGTTTATGTGAAGTATCTTCTGGGAACTGAAATCTGAAACTTTTACCACTGACATTTGCCTCACGCTCAACTTCTCCGCATCATGATTAATATTTACAGTGCGGGCCTGGTCGCCCTCAGCAAAGTGGTGTCCTGCTATCTTTCACTGATGACAGTTGTAATTACTACTCTTTTGTGTAAGAATTTACAATACTTAAAAATTCAAATGTACATCCTTTTGAGTCGCTGCTCTTCCTCATGCCCCAAGAAGCAGGGGAAAATGGCATCTGAATCAACTCGCCTTGTAGATGAGAAAACCAGGGCTCCAGCGGGTGAGCAAATTCAAGGTCCGGCAGAGGCAGCCTAAGGATTTCAACCCCGAGTGCAGTGCTACTTCCATCACACGCCCCCCAAACAACCACTGCGGAGTTTAAGCCAGTGGAAAGAACTCTCCAGTCCTCCAGCTTGGAACTATCATTACGCGGGCACTCACAGGGGCACTCACAGGGGCACCTGATACTTACCAGCAGGAAGCTGGGCTGCTGCAGGTGAGGGAACGCCATAGCAGCCTCCTGTGGAGAGTTGAAAATGGCCGTCTTAGGAAACCACTGTGGAAAAACAAGGATGAAATCTCAACACCTGGTCAACCACAGAATACTTACTGCATTGCTTCACAATGCCCAGGAGAATGTGTGTGTAACTCAGCACACACTGCACTGCCATGCCCCACGCATTATAAACATGCTGTTCTCATGTGGTCTACAGCAGCCAGCGTCAGAGCCGACTCCGTGGTGGTGAATCCTTGGGAACTCGTGGTCACACCTGTATAGTACTTGCTACATGTCAGGCCTGGTTCTAGGGGTTCACCATGTATTTCTCACTTAATTCTCGGTGTTTGGCAGAATTCTAAAGGCAGCCCTTCGAGTGCCCATCCTGGTTATTCAATCAAACGTTCATCTAGGTATTGCTGTGAAGGGACTTCACAGACACCATTAAAGGGTCAGGTCAGTGGACCATAAAATAAAACACAGACGTTCTGGCTGATAGCCAGCACGGAGACAGGGACCTTAGTTCTACAACTCCCAAGAACTCGATTCTGACAGCAACCTGAATACGTATGGAAGGAGATACTTCTCCAGAGCATGCAGATAAGAGCAAAGCCAGCCCATACCTTGATTTCAGCCTTGTGAGACCCTAAGCCGAGAATTCCAAGCCTGCTTATAAAATTGTGCGATAATAAAGGGGTGAAGTTTTAAGCTGCTAAGTTCGTTACGCAAAAAAAAAGAAAAAAAGAAAGAAAGAAAGAAAAAGAAAAGAAGAAGAAAATACATCCACACAACAACCCTACAAGGTCAGTACAGATGAGGAAACGGAGGCAGAGAGAAGGCAAGTCCCTGGCTCTCACCAAGCTGGTAAATGGCAGAACCAACATTCAAATACACAGACCCCCCCCACCCATCTCTCACAGAGACAGGTGGGTAAGTCTCCCCTGTTACCTGTGCTCTAGGAGAATGAAGGGAGGGATGAACAAGCCCTGCCACAGGAGCCTTTGGTCTGGCCACCAGAGAGTCAGGAGCAGCTCTCCATACTCCTACTTCTCTGCCCGCTCAGGTCAAGAGATGAAATAATCCAGACGTGACTGCATAGAGAGGAAGCCTGCCTCGTTCCAAGGATGGGATAACTGACGGCTTTCCTGGCACAGCCCTGCCCACAGCCTGAGTAAGGGCACTGAGGGGGCAAGTCACAGCTTAACGTGGGTGGGGAGTGGCTGGGTGCAAGGGGGTTGCGTAGGCAGATGAGGGGTTGACAGATGAGCCTATCTGCCACTTGGCAATACAAAGACTTCCAAGGTTTTTCTCAAGTCTTTTTTTGTTTATTTACTTTTAGAGAGATGGGAAGGGAGGGAGGAAGAAAGGGAGAAAAACACCGAAGTGTGAGAGATACATCAGCTGGTTGCCTCTCGAACACCCCCAACTGGGGACCTGGCCCACAACCCCCGCGTGTGTCCTGACCGGGAATCCCTCCCACAACCCTTCGGTTCACAGGCCAGCACGCAATCCACTGAGCCACACCAGCCAGGGCTCAACTCTTAAACTAATTGTTTCAGTTTTAAGAAAGACTTAAAACACATAAAACACCTCAGTCCTAAATCAAATGGCCAAGAGAGCTATTCCAAAATGACCAAGCGTTATAAAATCCTGAACTGTTTGCAAAGGGCAGAGTTTTAGAGATGAGGTAAAAGCACCTCCTTGCTCAGAGGAAGCTTGCAGAGGCAAGGCCTGAAGGAATGAGGCCAGAGGCGCCAAACTAGGGGTCTTTCCAAGGGTGGCAGCGTCTGTTCTCTGGCCCTGCCACAGGCAGGCGCCCCCCATGACCCCCTTCTGCACTGTGCACCCAGCGTTTGCTTCATCCCACCACTTCAAAGACCACTTTCTGCAAGAGCTGCTTCGGACCTTGTCTGGGGGTTTCTTCCGGGGGCGGCAGCCCTCGGTTGCCGATCTTGCCAAGCACATCACATCACGCTCCTGCCAAGGACTCCCCCTAGCTGCTCTAAGCTACCACAGGTGAGGAAACTGAGGCTCAAAAAAAATCGAGCCTCCGGGGAAGAAGGCTCGGGCTGGGACTCACACCCAGCTCTTGCTCCCACACGGTTTGCTGAGTCCAAGACTAAACTTTAACTCGAAGCTCTCCTTCCTCCCAACTCGTTCAACGGACGTTAACCGAGCACCCACCGGGACGGCATGGGCGAGCCGCGCGGGAAGGTGGCAGGAGGGCGCAGCCCGGACCCCCGGCTCCCCTGCCGGCCCGAATCCGGGGCTCGCGGAGGAACTGAGACAGCTTCGGCGGAAGTTCGGAGAGGCTGCCAGGACACGGGACCATCCTGCGCGTGGCTCTGGCCACTCACTCACCTGTGGAGTCCATAGTTTCGTTCATCTGCGGCTACCATTCAGCTACCCGGCGCCGCGGTGTCGTCATCAAGCTGCGCGTGGCGTCACGCCCCCTGGCCAGGCGGGAAACGCGCCGCTACCTCAAAAGGCGCGTGCGCAAAGCGACGGTGGCCCAGGTTGATGGGTTCACTTCTGTATGTGAGTGCGCGGTAGGTGCGGTGCCTCTGCGCTCCTCACGCCTGAGCTCGTGCACTGAATCCGCGGCGAGCAGCGCGCATGCGCATCAGGAGACGCTGTTAATTATGGCCCTCAGAGCGCACCTCCAAAGGGGCATCCTGGCGCGGAACAATTACACTTGGTGCATTGACTGCCCTTCGTCCCATAAGCATTTATTGAGCGATATTTCTATTTCAGCGACAACGACCAGTGCAGCCTAGCAGGGAAGTCCTTATTACCAAAGACCAGGTCTCTTTGGCCCGCCACCGTAACCCCCACGCCTAACACTGCTCAGCACGTAAATGTGGATCGAACGGCGTAGGGGAGACGGCCCAATCCCCGCCCTCCGGAGCTGAGTAGTCGTGGAGGCCAGGCGGTGGCGCTGCTGAGAGAGGAACGGCCAGAGGGGCCAGCCCAGGGCTCTCTTAGGAGCGCCCAGCCAGGTGGGGTGGGGTCGAGACGTTATTCCCGCTAGCTGAGCAGATGGCGGCTCCGGGCTCCGGGCCCGGGCCCGGGCCACCCCCGGGGTTGGAGGCGGCCCTGCAGAAGCTCGCGCTGCGGCGGAAGAAGGTGCTGAGCGCCGAGGAGATGGAGCTGTACGAGCTGGCGCAGGCGGCTGGCGGTGCCATGGACCCCGACGTGTTCAAGTGAGCGGGTGGGGGACTGCGCGCTCCTCCGACCCCCAGACATTCCTCCTCTCAGCTCCCCGCTGGGCCACTGATCTGTATGAGTCCCCTGTCCTTGTTGGAACCCCCTGGGGACCCAGAGTAGAGTTGGGAGGTGGTCCTCCTGGGCCTAACCCCAGTCTGGTAGCTATGTCTGGCCGGTTCTCTCCAGAGCTCGTGGGCCGGTGACCAGGAGGGCTCACTCCGCACCGCGTCTGTCCTCACCAGGATCCTGGTGGACCTGCTGAAGCTGAACGTCGCGCCCCTCGCAGTCTTCCAGATGCTCAAGTCCATGTGTGCCGGGCAGAGGCTGGCGAGCGAGCCCCAGGACTCTGCGGTTGTGTCCCTGCCCACATCGAGCATGCCGGAGACCCGAGGTCAGAGTTGGGGTGCTCTCTTGCCCCTGTGGCCCAGGAGGTGGGGTTTCCGGGGCCAGGAGATGGGCAGTGCCCGGCACAGCAGGGCTAGACCCTCAGTGGCCAGGCCTTTCTGTAGGTCTTCTCCCAGGACCCACTGGGCCCATCCGAGGGCTCTCCCCTTTGGCTCAGTCCCCAGCTTTGGCTTCAGTGCTAGCCTTGAGGGCACGTCTAGATAGGGTAGAGGCAGAGTGGGTGTCCCAGCGTGGCCCAGGCAGGCTAGGGTTCATCTGGGACTTTTGCTGTCCCAGCCTCTTCTCACCTCATCACTCATGCCTTCAAACCACACATACAGGGACGAGACTGCCCTGGTTCCTGTTCTCTTGGTGTGTGCGGTCTCCACTGAAATTTTCCAAGAGTGGGCAGGCAGAGGCCTTTCTACAGCCCGCTACCCTATACATACCTCACCCAGCTTCAGATCCTGTCCAGGAGTCTGGCCAGCTGAGCGTTCCTTGGATTTTGGGCCAGGCGTCAGCGTGGCAGTCCTTGCTGCCCTAGACAGTCAGCAGGCAGAGGCCTGAGTGGCAGAGCACTGGGCTCAGGCTTGAGGGGGCATCTCACCCTCAAGGGTCACGACTAAGGGATGAACAGGTGCTGGTGGTGATGAGGATGTTATGACGGAACACCATGTCACTTAAACTCCTGAGGGCTGTAAGAAACCCTCTGAGATGCAGCAGAACCTTCTTGGCCAGAGCACTCAGGCACTTACATTCTGACAAGCAGCTGACATTGGAAGAAAGGGCAGGCTGGCGCCTGTGGGTGGGAGTGCTAGGGTCCTAGGCACGCGCTCCCTCTCTCCTGAGAGGCCCTGAGCCTCCTCACTGACCCATGCTCCATCTCCTCTCTTTGTGTCTCTCTCTGACCTGCAGAGGCCTCCTTTCTCTCTGCCAAGAACTGTAGCCCCTCTGCAAGGCCCTCCTTTTCCTCGGCCCCGCGGCCTGCGGCCTCTCCGGTTCTGCATCACAGCCCAGCTGCCACGCACTCGCCTCTCTCTCCGGGGCCCCCCGGTTCCCTACGGTTCTCTTGCTGCCTGTTCTCTCCTTTTGCAGGTTGCATTTATTGGTTTATCTCTGGGGGATGGTGTGCTCTGTTTCCATGGAAACTGCTATGCCTCAAGAAAACCAGGACAGCTTTTAGCTGCAAGGGCAGGGTCCTGCTGGCCATCTCTGCCATGCAGCTTAGAAAGTGAGGACATGATTTCATGGTTTATTAAGAAACAACCCCAGTACTTTTAGGATGGGACCAACATCCCTTACCCCACAGAGACCAACTCTGCTGAGCGCTCTATGGAGATGCCCCTGCACCAGAGGAAGACAAGAGGTCGAGGGGGCAGGGAAGAGGCGTGTGACATTCTGTGGACAGCAAAGCCTTAGGTGTGAGAAACACCTTGGTCTCTTAGATGCTGTCACATACCTGGATGGGCAGTCTGGAGGGTCAAGCCGTGATTCCCCTTTCCTGCCTGGTTTCGGATCTGTGGATACCTTGTAGGCATTGCCAGGTGTGAGGAGGCTGGGGGCCTGATATCCCACAGGTGCTCTGGCTTTGCCCTCCTATACACCCCACCTCACATTCCTCACCTCAGCATTCCAGGTGTCACCTGGAGTTCAGGCCAGGGAGGTGTAGGGAAGGGCTAAGAGGCAGGTCAGAGTAGGGGTGGGTGGACTACAGGCTGAGCTGAGGAACTGATGGGTGAGTTCCCAGAGGGAGGGAGAAACTGGGAACAGAGCCCTCCTCACTTGAGAGGGTAGCACTGTTCACTCAGTGACTCTGGGTGCCAGGCCACCTTTCAGTGTTAAGGGCACAGTGGGGCTGCAAGATGGACACACTCTCAGTCTGGTGAGGGAGATGGCTAGATGAATGACAGAGACGGGAACTGAAGCTGCAGGGGTTAAGCAGGCTGTGGGGTGTGGGGGGGGTAGGGGACAGGGTCCTCTGCCAGCTGCAGAGCCCCGGGAGGTGGGGAGGGGCTAAGAGAGGAGGGTGGCCGAGATGCATGGTATGGTCCAGGCTATGGTGGGAGCTGGGCCTGCATTGGAGGGTGGGGGCGAGAGGAGGATACAGAGTCAGGAGGTGCGCCACGGGCATGGTGCTGGGAGCACCGGCCTAGAGGGGTTGGGAAGATCAGAGGCAGGTGGGGACAGGAGTGGAGAACTGAGGTCATTTTCTCCTTGGTGCTCAGGCCTTGGGTCCTGTTAGGCTGGTAGCCAGGAGCCAGGCTAGGAGGACACGGGGGCCCTGGGGAGATGCATGGTGTGCACAGAAGGCAGCCTGGGCGGTCGTTGACGGGGAGAAGTTGGAGGGGAGCTGGGCAGTTAAGGGGCCCTGCCAGGAGTGTGCTACAGCCGAGAGGCAGAGGCCACCAGACAAGACATCTCTGAGGCCACGAATCACAGTGTCTGTTCATACAGACCTTCCAGCCACCTCATTAACGGCAGGGTTGGGTGGGGAAAATGAATTGTCAGAGCCATCCAGCTCTGGGGACCGTGGTGGCCTAGGATGACAATGGGGCTTTGGGACTGTTGGGGCTGACTGGCCTTAGGCTTCTCACAGAATTGGGGTGTAGAGTCACTCCCAGCCACAGTCTTGACTCAGTCTGGGTTTCTACCCCCCAGCCATTGAGGTGGCCTGCAGGGACTTCACCGGCAGGCTGACTCCTTTCTGCCTGTTCCTGCAGAAAAGGGGCAAACAGGGCCCCAAAGCACAGAAGAGTAATTCTTGTCATGGGGAGGATGTGGTGTCACTGAGGAAAAAACTTAACTCAGCTGAGTGCTGTCTGTTGAAGTTTAGGGAAACTGTAAGTTTTAAAAAGATGTCCCTCCAGAACGTGTTAGGTGAAGTGTGGCGTGCAGAGCCCGGAGCTTTGCTGTCTAGTGCGGGAGCCACAGCCCTGGGGTGTGCTCAAGAGGCGCCCTGAGTGCGGGTCCGCACCACGGGCCCAGATGCCAAAGGATGGGCCCAGAAAGGGAACGTGACTCCTCACAAATAATTTCTACATTGAGTACATGTTGGAAATGGGCTTTTTAGTTCATTAAAATATATTACGTAAATTAATTTTCTGGGGGCTTTTTTTTGTTTTTGTTTTTTTTACTTTTTAATGTGGCTGCTAGGAAGTTTAAAATGCTGTTGTGGCTTGCACCATGTTTCTGTCGGACAGCAAGCGCTGCTGCAGAACGTGGCAGTAGCGCTGTTCCTGAAACACCGTCAGCGCCGGGTGCATTTGTGGACAGCACCTCCCACAAAGCATGGGCTAAGTTAAGGGTTAGAAGTACATGTGTGCACATCCATGTTGCATGCCAGTCTTTGTTATTGTCTGTATGTGTTCTGGAAGCACTGATTAACCCCTGTGTGCCCAGCCCTAAAAAGAGGGCAGAACTTTCGTTGGCTCTCTGGGAATGGCCAGCGGCCTTGAAGATGCTGGGTGACCTGTGCTGCCTCACCTGGCTGTGGCCTGTAGCACTTTCTTTCCGTCTCCTCATTTCTCACTCCCCTGTCCCCCGTCCGTCCCCTACCCCACCCTGGCCAACCCCGTTCTTTTTCTTCCTCATACAAAATGCATTCAACTGCAGGTTCAGGCCAGTCACTAATATTTTGTCTTGGCGGCATCACTGGCCCATACTGCCACGAGGGGGCGCTCACTCGGCAAAGGAGAAAGGCCTCTTGGGGACCAGCAGCTCCTCCTGGGACTTCTTATAAATCTTTGTTCCCAAACAGCTCTGCCCGCAGAGCTTGCAGGGGCTGGTGAGTGGGACTCATGTGGGTGGGCCACATCAAAGGTGAATGACAGATAGGGTCCCTCTGTGTCTGGCCATCTCCCCAGCTTCAGGGGTTCCCCAAGTCACCCGGGGACAGGCTGGTGTGCTTTGGGAGTTTACTTCATTAGGGGGGTCACAAAACCCTGAGTGGACACAGCCTGGTTTGGGGAGTAGAGGAACACTGACTTCTGAAGACAGTGAGTCAGACCACTGCTCATACTGTCCAGTGATGTCAGTCATTGTGCCCTTAGGAACCGGGCACATCCCATCCCTCCCCAGCCCGTGGTCATCCTCTGCTCAGCCTGGCCCCCCATTCCACACGACCTGCTCCAAAAAGTCCCATGCTGGGTCCCCCAGGGAGGGCGTGGCTGAGCCTCAGCCTGAGCCCAGCTGAACACGGTGGGTCTTTCCATTGCAGACCCTGCAGACCCTTTTCCTCCACCCTCCGTCTCCTTGAAGAGGCCTGAACGGACCTCCCCAGTAACCCCAAGAGCACAGGATTTCTGAGGGTTTCATGAATCACACAGAGCCCACTAAATGGTCTACTTTCATTGTTAGATGGCTTTTTTAATGTCCTATGGCTCAAAGCCACTATAGTGTCTTATTTCCAGAGTTCAGGGCCTTGTCAGATTTACGGAGAAACATTATTTGCCCATTTCTTCTTTTCCCTCATCCTTGAGTTTCCCAAAGGACCCTTGTCATTACACTGAGGGGGAGGGGGAACTCATGTGACAGGCTGAAGCAAGCTGGCTTCAGAGTCAGGCCCACCTCTGAGACCCGCCCTGCCACTTGCTGCGGGTAAGCTGTGCCTGAGCTGTACTTCTAAGTCTTTCAGCAAACACACCCTGTTGAGAGTTTGTGGGATGCCCAGGGTCCCAGGATTGGGGTCCCTAACCCAGATGCTACAGAAGACCCAAATGACTCAGGTGCTTCCTTGTTACCAGCCTGATCTGCGCAGACACAGACCATCCAGGGAGGAGGAGAGTGCCTAGGCGGCAGTGAGCTGGCGGCCCTGCTGATAGAGAGCCCTCCCGTGCTACCGGCAGTTGTAGCTACAACCATGTACGCCTCCCTGGGCAGGAGTCAGAGTCAGCACGCTGAGCTTCCCCTAAATTGACCATCGACCCTTTTCCCCTCCTTCTGTGCATGACCTCCGTCCTAGGACACCCTTGAGGGCGCCTGTGCTCTGCCAAGGACTACTCAGATTCAGAACCCTGCGCTGATAGAGGGTCCCTGGCTGAGAGGACTGTGACCCCAGAAACATACTACGTGTCAGTGTTTAGGGAGGTACCTCTGACTGTGGGGTTTGCCCTGGTTCCTAACGATCGTTCTGTGTCTGCTCAGGGAGAAACAAAGGCAGCACTGCTCTTGGTGGAGGCCCAGGCCTGGCAGAACGAAGCGGCAGGGAAGGATCCAGCCAGAGGATGCCCCGACAGCCCAGTGCTACCAGGCTGCCCAAGGGGGGCGGGCCTGGGAAGAGCCCCACCCGCGGCAGCACCTGAGCCAAGCAGAGACTTGTCACTCCCACCTGCTGTGGGCTCCACCAACCTCCTGGCCGAGGTTATGTATTATTTCCTCCAGTTGGTAATAAACCTTTTTGAAAAAATGAGGATCCATTCAAGATGTTTTCTACCATCTTTTGAATATTTTAAGGTACAGATATTTAGAATTCTGTGTGCGGATCCTGATTCTACTGCAGCTGAACTGACCCAGTGACTTAAACCAGTGACGTCACTCTCCTGGAGACCATTCCCAGGTGCTCAGGTGCAGAGGGGGCAGAGGTTTCCACAGGACAGATGAACTGTGCAGGGCTTCTAATCTGTGGGCCAGGCACACCACTGGGGACTCCAATAAACCCCTGCCCCAAATGTCCTGACCTTACACATGTGACCCAGGGTTTTAGGCGTTCTGTAGACACCCCCAATCTATGGATTTCAGATTTTAAAACTCCACTTCTAAGCTTTTATACTTTAGTCTATACGTCTCATCAGTGTGGGCCTTAAAAATGGCAGCCTTCATGACATTCAGTTGAAAAACCTAACTTGATTTTCCTGAAATTTAGTAAATCTTTATGCTTTGAAATCTTGGATCGGAAATACTGTTTCCCCTGGGTCTGTCCTGTAAGCAGTAGCTCCTCACAGGTGCGGTCAGTGCCGCACCCACCCAAAGCATAGCACCATGTAGCCCAGACCAGCCTTCCACGCAGGCCCGGCTGGCTTTGGGGTCCTACCACTCCAGCAGGCAGATGAGTGTGTCCCAGCCAGGCATCGCAGCAGGCAGGTGTGATACAGAAACTTTAATGGCAAACAACTTGAAACCAGGTGAGCTGGGGGGAGGCAGGAAAGGGTGGGAGAGGTACACCCGCCAGCCCCGCTCTCCCACTCAGTATTCTTCCCCTTCTTCAGCCTCCGCTTCCACGGAATCCACGCCCACTTCTTCATAATCTTTCTCCAGAGCTGCCAGGTCCTCCCGGGCCTCGGAGAACTCCCCTTCCTCCATGCCCTCCCCCACGTACCAGTGCACAAAGGCTCGCTTTGCGTACATGAGATCGAACTTATGGTCCAGGCGGGCCCAGGCCTCGGCGATGGCGGTGGTGTTGCTCAGCATGCACACAGCCCTCTGCACTTTGGCCAGGTCTCCCCCTGGGACAACGGTGGGGGGCTGGTAGTTGATGCCCACCTGCCAGAGAAGGGGAATAAAGCACTGTGTAAAGCCTCTGTCGAACCCAGAAATGGTAGCTGCTTTCCCAGAAACATACAACATATGGGCCCTGCCCTCTGGTGACCTGGCAGAGGCTTGGTTCACCCTGCGGTCTCTGAGCCCTTCTTTGCTCCAGGCAAGGTGCCAGGAAAGCAGGGTGCTGGTTTCCAGACAAGGAAGTGGCTGGAGCCGGCCACTCTGGCTCAGTCCCAAGCTGTCTGAAGGGCTGTGTCCCAGCAACTGTGACATGTGATAGGCACCCAGTGATAGAACTGTCTTCCTTCTGAGGGAGGGCACTGCCCTGGATTCTTCGTAGGTTACTTTCTCCTTAAGCTTCAACAAGAAGGGAGTCAATCTCTATAGCAGAAGCCCTTTCATCCAGCACACAACTGTAATGGTGTTTCACGGGAGAACCTACCCCAGCTTTCCCACCAAACAATCAGCATGTGCACAGCAGAGTGAAAGGTACACGGCCAGACGACCCAGGGCCACTGCTACAACTGCAAAGCAGGTGGTCTGTGTGTGTGCTAAGTAGGAGGGAGGGGGTACCATTCTAGGCTTCAGAACCCGAGGAGATAGGACCAGAGCTTTGGGCAGCAGAATCAGACAGGGTTAGCTCAAGCCAGGGTCAGCGAACTTTGTCCATGAAGGGTGAGACAGTACACAAGCTCTGCTGGGTGGGCCAGACAGTGTGTTATAGCCACTCAGTGATGTCTTTGGAGCATAAAAGCAGCCACAACAATAGGCCACTACCTGGTGGAGGCTGTGTTCATATTAAACTTGACGTAATCAGGTGCTGGTCCACCACCCACGCTGACCCCTGAACTAGAGGATGAGAACCCAGTGGAGGAAGGCCTAGATAAGAACCCCGAGCACAGCAAGCCCACCAGAGGCGGTGAGAATCTGAGCCAGAGGAGGCAGCATGAAAAGCAAGGCTCAGGGAAGCAACAGCTCCCAGAGGGAAATAACAGGCAGGGTTCAGGAGTCAAGTACAGCGCGAGGCTGAAACTCCACGGCACAGATGCTTCGCTGTTTCGAATGGAAGGCTGGCATGAAGTGGAGGCCAGAGGCACGCTCAAGCCAGAATTTCTAGGCTTACCAAGAGAAAGAAAGATGTCATCATTTTTTTCCATAAAAAGATTCATGATGATTTTTCTCTAAATCAAACACTTCATAGGACATTTAAGTTGGGTTTACTTTCTATATGTGTATGGAGTTAAGTGGGATTTAGTGACACCAATAGTAATGTCCCAATTTCAAATATCCACACAAAGGAACAAAAATGCCCAGAAAATTCCTATTGTAAGAAAAAAATGTCTTACTTTTAAGGCTAACCAACATTTCCCACACTAACTCTACCCTCAAACAGGGGAACAGAGATACTGCAGAAAATTTCCTGTTCTGTTAAAAAAAACCTCTCTCACCACAGATAAACACCGTGATGATTCAGGAAGTCCAAAGGACACCAGTGCAGCCCTGGCCAGGTGGCTCGATTGGCTGAAGCATCACCCCGTAACAAAATTTTGCAGGTTCAATTCCAGGTCAGGGCACACAGCTAGTTTGCAGATTCGATCCTCAGTGAGGGCATGTAAGGGAGGCAACCTATTGATGTTCCTCTCACTTGCTCAAATCCATTTTAAAACACCTTATCACTGGGTGGATATTAAAAAAAAGAAAGACACCACCGGATAAGGGATCACTCTGGTTCACTAACTGATAACCAGAGCCTCGCTGCCAGGGAACGGGATTCTCCACAAGGGCAGCACTCAACCCCAGGGTCTGCTGCGTGCTGAAAGGCAAAAGCACTCGTTATCGACCACCGGGTCCTACCTTGAACCCCGTTGGGCACCAATCCACAAACTGGATGGTGCGCTTGGTCTTGATGGTGGCGATGGCCGCGTTGACGTCTTTCGGGACCACGTCCCCACGGTACAACATGCAGCAGGCCATGTACTTGCCGTGCCGAGGGTCGCACTTGACCATCTGGTTGGCCGGCTCAAGCAGGCGTTGGTGATCTCGGCCACGGACAGCTGCTCGTGGTAGGCCTTCTCGGCCGAGATGACCGGGGCGTAGGTGGCCAGGGGGAAGTGGATGCGGGGGTACGGCACCAGGTTGGTCTGGAATTCCGTCAAGTCCACGTTCAGGGCCCCGTCGAAGCGCAGGGAGGCCGTGATGGAGGACACGATCTGCCCAATCAGACGATTGAGGTTGGTGTACGTGGGCCGCTCGATGTCCAGGTTGCGCCGACATATGTCGTAGATGGCTTCATTGTCCACCATGAAGGCACAGTCGGAATGTTCCAGGGTCGTGTGGGTGGTCAGGATGGAGTTGTAGGGCTCCACCACGGCCGTGGACACCTGCGGGGCTGGGTAAATGGCAAATTCCAGCTTGGACTTCTTGCCGTAGTCCACCGAGAGCCGTTCCATCAGCAGAGACGCGAAGCCAGAGCCGGTGCCGCCCCCGAAGCTGTGGAAGATGAGGAAGCCCTGCAGCCCCGTGCACAGATCCGCCTGAGAGGAAGCAGAGACCGTGAGCAGCGCCTGTCCCAGCCACACCGCCAGCCTCCCACAAGCCCAGCTCACTTGTCTGGGCCTCCACAAGAGCAAATGGATCCCAGTCGTCCCCAGGGAACACGCATCGCACTTAGGGCCCAGGCAGAGCAGGCATGAAGATGTATGGATGCACTGCAGCCACACCCCAAAGGAAGACCATGGGTCCACTACTCTGGCCTGGGTTCTGCCAAAGGGACCCTGGAGGGCCTCCCGGCGCTCTTCTTACCAGTTTACGGATCCGGTCCAGGACCAGGTCCACAATCTCCTTGCCGATGGTGTAATGGCCTCTGGCGTAATTGTTGGCTGCATCTTCCTTCCCGGTGATCAGCTGCTCTGGGTGGAAGAGCTGCCTGTAGGTCCCCCGTGCGCACTTCATCTACAGAGACGACACATGGGTAGTGGCTCTTTAAGGACACTGTTAACTCACCAGCACAGACAGACCTGGGGCCCGTTCAATTCTACCAAGCATGTGCTGTTCCTCATATCTCCACAGCATCAGTGTATCAGAGGGACTCGCTCTGCAATACACAGAGCACGCCTGCATTCTGTGGCTCTAGGGAGGTAAACTCAGCTCATGGCACAGATACCAGCTTGAGTGGTCCCCGAAGAAGGAGCAGAGCTCACAGCCCTGCACACAGGCAATTCTACATGTGCAGATTTCTCTCACACCAAAAGGTATAATTAAACAAACCCTTTAGGCCTTGGCCAGTTAGCCCAGTTGGTTACAGCGTTGTCTTGATACACTGTCATCTCCTGGATAGCCGCTGACAGGTGCCCATTTTGCACCCCTCCTTAGAAACTACCTCGGGTGTCTAATCTGGAGGAACCCAATGAATGTTCCCTACTTACATTTCTGTGTCTGAGTTCCAGGTCAAGACTCTCATGCACCAGCCTGAGAGAGTGCACGGCATAAGGAGGGATGAGCCCACCGGCACCCGAAGGCAGGGTCTACAGCTGCCTGGGGCTAAGGCAGCCATGAATGTATCTGTTCGCAGCCCATCTAACTTCTGGCAAAGCAGCTTTCTCTGTATGTTAGGTTGCTCTAAATCAGGAGCCTAAACCCTGCATTCCAAGCACTAACCTTTCAGTTGCTTGCCCAATACGGTCACGGATATACCCATGTGTCCGTCCATCCTTTCTGCAGAGGGATTCCGAGGAGCACCCACCAGGATTTAGCCAGGCTCTCCCAGCCTCCCTGGAAAGCCACCCTACTTGCCCGAGTACCTACCCACCACGGTGGGCTCCAGGTCCACAAACACTGCCCTGGGCACATGCTTGCCAGCCCCAGTCTCACTGAAGAACGTGTTGAACGAGTCATCCCCACCACCAATGGTTTTGTCACTTGGCATTTGCCCATCAGGCTGAATTCCATGTTCAAGGCAATACAGTTCCCAGCAGGCATTGCCGATCTGGACACCGGCCTGTCCCACGTGGATAGAAATGCACTCACGCTGGGAAACAGAACATAATGTGAGAACCCTGCCCCTCATCTTCAAGGCAACCATCACTACATGGCATGAAAACAAAAGCTGATACCATACATTCATAGTCATACAACACTTAATGACGGGAATACATTTTGAGAAATGTATCATTGGGCAATTTCTTGTCCTTGTGTAAACATCACAATGCACTGACACAAACCTAGATGTCATAACCTACTGCACACCGAGGCTACTGCTGCAGCCTGTTGCTCCGAGGCTATAAGCCTGTACAGCATGTTTCTATACTAAACGGTGTAGGTAATTATAGCACAATGGTAAGTAATGGCGTATTTAAACACACAAAAGGTACAGTACAGTGAAAATACAGTATAAAAGATTTCTAAACAGGTACACCTGTATAGGGCACTTAGCTGGGACTTTGCAGGGCTGGTGTAAGTACTATGAACTTTTAAACTCATGTTTAGGCATTTCAACTTGAGAAGACCCTATCATGCCAACAAGCAATGGCTGAATAGTTCTTCTGAAAGTACTAATCACAGCATTTTTCTTAAGACAAGGTCTTTGCTAAAAATAACAACTCCTAAAAATGATGAAAACCACACATTTTTTCTAGTCCTGAAGTTTCTTTTAGCTGTCATGTAATAGACGTTACCTTTCCTTTACAGTAAAAATAACTCACCCTTAGAAAAAAAGTTTGGACCTTGATTTCATGCCATACAATGATCAACAACAGAAGCTTTGAAACCAACTTTTACAAAGGGAGAAAGCTGAGGTTAGTGTGGGTTATTATGTAGGTGCACTTTTGACAAAGTTTGAAAGCTGCCACGGGGATTAGGGGAGGAAACTGAGGCTGAATAAGTAGCCATCAGTCTCCGTTAACTGACAAGTGACACTTGAACTGGGTCATGTCAAGTCCTGTGAGAGGGTCATTCTGGCCTGGCTCCACATACGACTGTCTCTTAGGCGCCACTTGTTTTAGAAGTGCACAGTGACAGAAGCGTTGTTGGTTTCCATCAATGTTTAAACTATTCCTGTCTTAATTTAACAATACCTAGTACATACCTATGTGCTGAGGACATAAAAATCAGCAAAATAAAGGCACAAGCCCACCATGCTATGGAAAAACAGTAATTCTCATATAATGATGATAATAAGGAATCTGATAAGATCTACAAAATCACAGCCATTCATTTCTGGCATCACATACACACCTACACAGGTAGGAAACGGCTGGTACACAGATTACTTCTTGTACTTTTCATGTGTAAAACACCACAAAACATCCAAGTATCCAGCGATACAAAACAGGCTGAATAACCTACAGCCACTCGCTGGAATACTATGCAGCAGTGAACAGCAATGCAGTTCTTTGTATGTTGGTAAGGAGAGAGCCGGATTTTTTTGCCCAACAAAAAACCAAGGAGCAAGAGCATATACTATGTGCTACCTTTGGTGCAAGAAAGGGGACAGTATAAGCATATCTATTCCTGTTTGGTTTCATTTTTAAGGAATTATGAGTATAAATAAACAGGCAAAAATTTAAAATCCTACCTAATGGAACAAGCCAGATTTTGAGCATATACCATTTTCTATCATTCTTAGTTCAAGACCTTGTAAATACTAAGCCCTGGCTGGCATAGCTCAGTGGATTGAGCTCGGGCTGCGAAACAAAGTGTCGCAGGTTTGATTCCCAGTCAGGGTACATGCCTGGGCTGCTGGCTATGACCCCCAGCAACCGCACATTGATGATTCTCTCTCTCTCTATCTCCCTCCCTTCCCTCTCTAAAAAATAAAGAAATAAACTGTTTAAAAAAAAAAGACCCTGTAAATACTGCCTGTGTAAGCGTCCTCAGAAGCTCACACACAGCATCGCAAAGGCAAATAGAGAGAGTTCAAGGTCAACACGATGTTGCTTTGGAAGGTAAGTGTGAGAGCAGAGGATAACTGCATCTCCGGAGTGTGTCCGGCGCCCACTTTCGACCCACATGCTCCGGACAAGGCTCCGGACAGGACTCTGGAATACACCCGGGTCCCAGCGATACCAGGTCAGGGATGACACCCTCCTGCCCTGCGGCCCCCTGGCCCTACCCCCCCACTATGTAGCCCGCCGTACCATGGTGGTCACCTTCTAGCCTCACGCCGCGCTGCCACCTCCACTCCGTCCCACTCCACGCGCCCAATGGCCTGCCCTACACGCTGCACACAGAGTCCTGATTGACACGCTGCCTGTACAACTTCAATTGGCTCTGACTACTCCAGGGGGTGGGCCTTAGGCTGGAACCCCAATTGTGATTGGCCATTTTCTATCTAAGCTACAAAATCTCTTTTGATTGGTCCTCACTTTGGGCGGGAAGTGGCGACTCCACTGGGGCCAAGTGCCGCAGACACCTGCTGAGCAGCTGTGATAGGTGGCGGCAGGGTGAAGAAAGAGCCCTTGCTTATGAGTGGAGGCCACTCTATAGAAGCTGACACCTCCTGAGTTTCATGTGTTTGTGGACAAAACATGGTCTTACTACAGAGCTGTCCAGGGGTGTTGGAAGTTAAGAGGGCCGGTAATTGTGACAGGCCTTTGCAGACCTAAGCTAGAGCAAATACCTGTAAGGGCTATTTAGTTAGCATCCTTTTACTAGTGCTGATGTTAGTGTCCTAGGTTGGTAAGAATTTTAAAGTCCAGAGTGTGCCAGGGGGCCAACCTATGCATTGGAGCTCTTGCAAGAGTATGAGATATGGACCACGGGGATAAGTTCCCAGAAGGAAGTGGCTGGGAAGCTCTAGGAGGGAGGGAGGTGTTAATTCTACCTTCATGGAGACTTAGAACATCTCAGCAAAGAGGGATGGATTGTGGTGTGCGGGGCAGGCAGTGGATCAAGAAGGTCAGAGAGCTGGAAGGTTTGCCTGGGTACTGGCCTGGCTTGGGTGGGCAGAAGCCAGCCAGCAATACATGCAGGTTGAACTGGCCGTTTAGGGGGAGCACATGGCAGGAGGGGGAGATAGGGCAGGGAACCCCACAGTCATCGCAGGAGGCCAAAGGATTACCCACACATGCACACACCTTAGTGAAAACACACACAGAATTCCCAAGGTTCCTGGAAGGGTGACTGAGCCCTCAGTTCACCTCTGGCTCCAGTTCCCTCCATGCCTGTTGCTGGCCCATGGGTGTGTGTGTGTTTACCCCACAGAGGAAATAGCCCCTTTTCTTAGCTCTTCTAAGTGTAACCTGGATGAGCTAGAATTTTCATAGAGAAATTGAAAGGAGTTAAATATAGATAACATAAGAAATAGCTGAAGTAAATTTTAAAAACTGCAAAACGCAGATTTCTTATCCTGCCTGCCATTGCTAGGTCAAGGGAGACATGGGGCCATGTTCACAGTGGTCACTCAAATGGTCTGGGTTTAAGCAACATCTTCCCCACACCCCCACCCCACACACTGTGGATTCAGTGGGCCAGCTCTTCTGCTGCCCACTCATTCTTTGCTCTGGCAGCTTTCAGAGAGCATGGTCTGGGGGTTAGAGGGTTAGGCAGCTAGCTGGGGCTTCCAGGGATTGGTGTTTGAAAAATCAGATACAGGACTCTTACCAAAGAGCCTTACAGTGAGTGCAAGGAACCAGGGTCAGCCTTGGGCAGAAAGAGGCTGACAGGAAGTGGCCACTGATGGACTCTTCTTCCAGGTGTTTGTCAACATGCACTCCCGGATGTAGGTGCCCATGGTGAGCATATTGGTGTTTGGGGTCCTCATAGCTTTCACGGTGCTGCTGCTAGACCTTGAAACAGTGGTCCAATTCCTGTTCATTGGCACACTGCTGGCCTACTGTTTTGTGGCCACCACTGTAACCGTGCTATGCTTCCAGGAGTTCCCTCCTTTTAGCTCCCCAGCCCCAGCCAGCTCTGGCCTCGTGGCCAAGGAATACAACTCCTTCCAAAATTGCTGCCGGCTGGTGGGCACTGAGCAGGCCTCAGCCCCTGAGCTAGGCAGCTATGGCCAACGCTAACACGCTACCTGGGCTTCTTGGGGGTGCAGCCTTGGAGCCCCTGTGGCTTGGGCACTAGGTGTCATGGTGCCTTCGGCCATCAGCCTGGACTGTGTGCTGGTCTTTGGGGACTCAGCTGTGCACCTCCCACGCTGGGGCTACATCCTGCTGCTCCTACTCAGCACTACATTGCTCGTGCTTAGTCTCTTCATCCTGGGGGCCCACCAGCAACCGCATCAACAGGTCACCTTCCAGGCATGTCCCCTGGCCAACCCCCACTCACTGTCAGCCAAGCCAGCTCCCTCTGCCCCTTCCTCCTCTGCCGTGGCAGGATGAGTCAGGGTGTCACAAGGCTGGGGAGGCCAGCATACCCCTCTCTGTATGGGAAGTGGGCAGCTGTCTCCAGAATCTGGAGAAGTGAAGAAGGGCTTTGTGGATTCCCAAGAAATCAGGTCCTGGGCCTACAGACCTTCCTGGTGCCTTTGACTGCAGCCCTGATCATCCTCCTCAACACCTGCCTCAGGCTGAAGCTGATCTACCTGACCTGGTTGTGCTTGTCCATCTGGTTGCTGCTGGGTGAGTGTGGGCCAGGCTGGGGCCATGGGTGGGCTGCAGGAGAGCAGGGAGGGCAAGAAGGGCAAAGGGCTGGGACCTGCCTCTCAGGCCTGTGCAATCCTACCGGACCCATGGTTTTCAGCTCTGGTATCAGGCACAGCATGGAGAACTAGCAGCAGCTGTAGCAGCTAGCCACCCCACACTGCATGGTGTCCCCCCACGCAGCCTGGAGGAGACAGTGCAGGTCATGCAGTCTCAAGGGCACCGGCCCTGCAGCTCCACTTCATGGAGCAGCCCATCAGTCTGTGAGGAGAGCTGGAGGTCTGCCCACCCTCCCACACCTCCTCAGGAGGCCTGGGAGTCCCCTCCATCTGGGGCAGCTCATGTTTGCAGGCCTACTCACATGGAGTAGTCCTCAGGACCTTAGAGCTCAGCCCAGGTTTCATGCTTTCAGCCTTTGGGAGTGGGTCATGGCCAGGGCTGGTGTGATGGATACTTTGCTTAGCATCTTCCAGTTTATGACCAACTCCAATCACCTGGGCAGCTAGGGTGGGGTGCATAGGTAAGAGGCCCATAGCCCCAAGGATCTACAATAACTATTCAAGCAACCATCTGTCACCCTGTCCATTGTGATGTTCTTTGTAGCACTGAGTCCTTGCCTGCCCCCAGGAACTGGGTGATTGTCCTCAATCCCCAGCAAAGGCACCTAGGTTCTGCCACGGGGAGGCACCAGCCCTAGGACAGCCCTGACGCAGGAATACAGCCAGGCCTAGGTCCCGGGGTCCTGCCCTCAGGCCAGTGCCTTCTGCTGACCTCAGAAGGGAGCCACACATCCCAAAAAGCACCAGGTGAAGAGGGGTTGGTGACAGGTGGGATCAGGGCTTCCCCACAGGCTCTCCACATGTCCTTCAGGGGTGCATCCAGAGAGCAAGCGGCCTGGAAAGGGCAGTGGAGTTCCAGGTTGCCTTTGTTTCCCCAGAGGGGAAAGCTCCCCTCTGGGGAACTTTCCAGAGAACACGGTGTGTGCCTGCAGCCTGCCCGGGGTTGCAGAGGCATGCCTGCATGGGCACAGGCTCTTCTTAGGCGCGAGCCCTTGTGGTCCGCACAGGTGCCCTGGGGGGCACAGATGTGCATAGATGTAGGCAACACCTGTTTCTAATTTCAGGCCCAGCTGGCACTCATATATATTCTCTCTCTCCCTCTGCCCCTTCAAGGGTTTTGTGATAAGGGCTCAGGATGGTGTGTGTATGGTACACATGCTTATGTATGGGTGCTCAAGCATCTGGGCCTGCTCCAAGTACCTTCCAGCCCACTTGGTGGCTGTGAGACCCCAGTCCTTTGGGAGAGTCTCAGGCCCACTCTGCCCCTCCCACACTGGGCTGTGGCAAATGTAGACATGTCCAGCTCCCCGTTCCTGCCTGTAAGGACCACACAGGAGGCTGCTGGCTTTGGCAGGCTTTACTCCTCAACTTCCTGCAGCCATGTTATCAGTTTTGTCTGGGCCCTGAGGACAACCAGGTACATGAGACCCTGCTCCAACAACCAGGCCTCAAGGCCATGTTCCCTTCCCTGGCCCCCCCGAACCTACCTCCTCATACACACTGCTCTGGGGACTGAGAGGAGCAGGGGCCCACGGCTCTGCTCAGGCCCCAGATGATTCCAGCTGCTCACCCGGCCTGAGCCCCACCCCAGCCTTACCCAAATGACCCACATCACTCCATTAGCAAGTTGCCAGCATGCCCCTGATCACTAGGCACCCATGAGGAAGCAGCACTCACCTCCTTGGGGTGAGTACTCCCACATCCCCGCCCCGGGACTAAGAGAGGGTTTAACTCTAAGAGAGACCCCATCCCTCTGCTCCTGACCATGGATCTCCCAGACCTGGGGAAATTCTCCAGCAGGCAGGACACAGAGCCCCAGCAGATACCAGAGCCAAAACTGGGCCAGCCTGCTGGGGGCTCTGTGTCCTCAGTTAGGGACACTCCTTCAGCCACTGGGCTTCACCTGCGGTCATAGACAAGGCCTCCTGCCTGCAGCTGTCCAGACAGGTTTTTAGGCATGGCAGTAGACAGGACTGGGTCTCAGATATATAATCTTCCCACCCCCATGGCTCCCAGGAAGCCCAGAAAGCAGGGTCCAGGGGGCTGGTCTTGGGATGGGTCACCAAGGAGGCATATAGAAGGTCACAAAGGCCCCGATGACCATAAGCTGAGCAGGTATGGGCCCGAGGTGCCTGTGCCCTTGCCTGGGGTGCCTGGTGGGATCATCTGCCCGCCCGCTCCCTTCCCATGGAAGAGGCCCAAGTCTAGGGGCACTTGCCCCCTGCAACCCAGCACCAGAACAGCCGAGGCAGCACTTCTTGTCAGGCTTCCTTCTACCTTGCTGTGGACTCAGCCACACGGCCCCCAGTGCAGCACATCACGGCACAGCTGATAGGGTGGGGGCTCTTCCTCCCAGGGGGGCATTGGCATGGAGAGGAGGGCTGGAAGCCAGGCAGGGATGGGGTTGGCTACAGTCAGTGAGAGGGTCAGTGCTGACAGCTGGTGAGCAGGCCACTGCTAGGAGCACAGGGGGTGGAGTTTGGGAGAGAGTTCTCCGAACACAGGCCCAGGGTTCTCCCCTTCTTTATGGCTTCTGTGCCACTGCAGATCTCTGTGCAAAACTGGCTTCTGTTGCTCCCCAGGCAGTGTTCTGCCAAGGCTGGAGCCAAGGCTGAAGGACAGTTGGCCTGGGAGTTGAAGGTATTATTCTCCCCACCCCCCAACAGTGTTTCTGCTGGGACTTCATCCTTGAGGTCCCCAAGGTGGGGCCCAACCCTTCCCAGCCACAGGGAATGGTTACAGATCTCAAGAATGGGCAAGCAAGTGGGGGCCAGAGCCTGGGCAGGGCCAATCTGGCTTCAGTGTCTGGCTCCCAGCAGCAGCAGTAGCCATGGGGGCAGGTGCTGGGCCTCCTCTAAGGCACCTGGGCAGCCGGGTTCGGAGGTGCGGAGGCCAGGTCTTTCTGCTCAGGGTTTGTGGTGACTTTCGGGGCCTTTGCCTGCAGATGAGGACATTTGGTCAGGGCTTTGGCCAACACCCTCCAAGTGGAGCAGCACCTGGTGGCATAACAGGCCTGTAGCTCACCTCCTCATACTTGGTCGTCCAGTAGAAGTTGGCTTCTCCGTCCACATACAGCAACAGCAGGTCACAGAAGAAGGTGATCTAGGATAGTCAGGATAGACCCGTGTCTGGGCCCCAGCCTACCCTCCTCCCCAACCCTTACCCAGAGACTCAACAGCAGGCAGAGGGGGCTCATGTGCATGCAGGTGGGGCTGGGCGCACCCTGTCTGCAGCCAGAGGGAGCCCGCATTGGCCACACTCACCACGCCCAGCCAAGCTGCTCCAGTGCCCAAAGTGATGGCTGTGGGGATGAGCCCGAACTTCCCTGCCTGAGAGATGCCTGGGCTGAGCCTCTCAGTCCATGGTTGTCGCCTCCTCCCACCCCCCCATCCCTGCCCACCCCACCTGGCCGCTCCTACCCGCCCAGCAACTAGGATGTCGAAGCGAATCCCGTAGAGCTTCAGCAGACTCCGGGCCTCCACACCAGAGGCTTCCCACCAGTGAGTGGCTGTCCTGCGGGCAAGAGAGAGTCTGGCGGCCTGTTGCACCCACTCCCTGGCCTCCTTCTGTTCATCCACCGACTCCATCAACCCCCAACCCCAGCCCAGATCCCGGGGCTCAGCTCTGTGTTGTTGCTGAGGGCACACAGGAAAAGCAAACCAGGACCTGCTTCTTGGAAGCTTCCTGCTTCCTGAGGGGACAGGGACAGAAGGGTCTCTGAATAGACACCAGCGGTGGGTGGGGGTGGGAGGACGTGGGGTAGGCCAAGGTTGTAAGGGTCCAGAGTGGGAACTCACACTCCTGCAGGAACCGGGGCAGACTCCCTGCAGGGGAGAGTTTCAGGCCTGTGCTACAGGGTTCCAGAAGGATTCTAGGCTGAGAAAGTAGGGCCAGTGAGAGCACAGAGGTGAGGGAAGCAGCGTGCAGGCAGGGAGCCAAGGGCTGGGGAGGCAGCGAGGCGAGGCCAGGCCTGGCAGCCGAGTCAGGAGTGCCGAGTCCAGGCCTGGTGGCTGTGTGCACGTGCGTGGGAGCAACAGTGAGAAGGTGGCCTGGGGTGGCAGAAGGATTCTGGGCAGGGAAGGGGAGTCTGCTGGACACAAAGACGTGACAGTAAATGCCATGCAAGATTCCCAAGTGCATCCTAGATTGAAAAACAAAAATTTAGGAGCATTATTGGCCCAGCTGGGGAAATTGGAACGTGAGATTTAGTCTGCCAATGTTACATTTCTCGAGTGTGACAGTAGGACAGTGGTCCCATGGGGAAGGTCCTCAGGCTTAGTGCAGTGTTGAGAGGGGCGAGGATCTGGATGTCTGCCACTTAGTTTTAAATGTTTGCACTCGAAATCTATCTAAATACATCTGGCTCACTCTAGAGAAGTGGGGAGAAGCAAGGGTGGCAAAAGGGTAAAAAAACCCCAAACCCTGTGAACCCAGATAAGAGTATTTGGGTGCCCATGGTACTAATCTTTGAACTTTTCTGTAGATTTCAAAAATAAAACCTTAAGGGAAAAGTGAGCAAGAAACCTCCCTCTGCTGTGGAGAGTAGATGTTAGAGTCAGGGTGGGGTGGAGGAGAGGCTGGAAGTGACAGGTCCCAGCAATAACACGGATGTGGGGACATATGGGGTGAAGAGGGGAGGGCTCAGGAAAGAGGCTGGACAGAACCTGTGCTGGGGGACTTGGAGCTGAGAATCCCCCCTTCTGTTCCTGGGACCCCCTCCTACACAGAGCAGAGCATCCAGGGGGCTGAGGTCTGTTTTGGCCTCTGCAGGAGGAAGGTGGAGGTGGACCTGGCCGAGGAGCAGCATGCAGGCACTGGGGGCTGTGGGGGTGGCACCTGAAGTTGTAGCTCCTCTCCTGCAGCTGGAAGGAGTAGTCGGGTCGGCAGTCAGAGCCCCTGATGTCCAGGTCGCAGTCCCAGAGGACACGGATGCCTACAGCACCACCCTGCACACAGCACATCGCTGCTCCGCTGGCACCTGGGCTCAGACCCTCCCCCTGAGTCCTCCCGAAACCCTGTCTTCCACACACCCACCAGCAATGCCAGGTCCTCAAAGTCCCCTCCAGCTGCAGCCACGAGGTCTCCAATGCG